AGAGAGAGAGAGAGAGAGAGAGAGAGAGAGAGAGGGGAAACAGGCCTAGTCCATTGCTACAGTCTACAATCAGCCGACTTTTTGCAAGGTTTCAACAGTCCAACTCCACTGCCAATCAACCGAGATGTGGACGACCAAGGGAAACAACTCGAGCCCGGGATCGCTTTATTCAGCTTCATCACCTGCGGGATCGTTTTATGCCTGCCTCTTCAACGGTCCAAGCGCTTCAGAATTTCATCAGAATTTCCGATCAGACAGTACGCAACCGACTCCGAGATAGAGGGCTCCGCGAAAATCGACCTGTTTTAGGACATTGTTGACGGACCGGCATCACCAACAGCGACGACAATAGGTCACTCAGCACGTCAACTGGAGGCTACAAAACTGGCGGCTCGTAAGGTTCAGTGAGGAATCAAATTTTCTCATCTCTCGACACGACAAACGACGTCGAGTTTACCGACGTCGAAATGAGGGGTTCGCACCTGGATGCATCTCCCAGGCCTTATTGCATGGTTGTGGCAGTGTGATGGTGTGGGGAGCAATCAGCCACACTGGCAGGAGCAACCTGGTGAGAGTACAAGACAATTTGACAGCCCAGGCCTACATCAACAAGGCCCCCTTTAATTACTTAAAGCCCTCCCATTGCTTCAACAACCAGTGGTAATCTTCCACAAGGAAAATGCCAGACTGCATACTGCCAGAGTAACTAGAGACTTTCTGGCTGGGAACAATGTCCAGACACTCCCATGGCCTTCAAATGCACTGGATTTGAACACTATAGAACACATTTGGGATGCTTTGGACAGAAGTCTCAGGAACAGAGTTTCACTCCTGATGAACAGTTTGCAGCCTTGGATGAAGAGTGGAGGGCAATACCGCTTCCCAACATTCGTCGTCTCATCGCCTCGATGTCTGGCGCTACTCCAGTCAACAGGAGGCCACACCCGGTACTGAATGGCTGCCCTTGGATGAAAGGATTGGAGCATCCAATTGATTGTTCAAAATCAATTCAACTTTGTTGATAATCAATAAACAGCAATGAATAAAATTTCAAAATTTATTTTCTTTCCTTTATCTATATTAGATATTACATTTCCAACTACAGTGTAGAACTGTACCCCCCACCCCCAATTTCCCATGGCACTTAAAAAAGGATAACATAAGAGAAGGATATGAGTACCTGAATCAAAGCTTGAGCTTCACGTTGCTGACATTTGTCCACTTCGTTTGTCGTGTCGCCGAAACACTTGAGCCCATGAAGATATACTGGTGAATAAGGTCGTAGCCAAACAAACGTTTTGGGTGGTGACAGTAGTGGCCCCCCTCATCCCCACTCCTCATCCACTGGTCAACACACACACACACA